TCTCTGGCCACTCCCAATCTTTCATCCAATACACCAGTCACACCAGAACTACCTGCATGTCTGGGGGCGCCTGGGTGGCTCAGTCGTTAAGTGGCTGCCTTCGGCTCAGGTCATGATCCCAGGGTCCTGGGATCGAGTCCCACATTGGGCTCCCTGCTCGGTGGGAAGCCTGCTTCTCCCTCTCCCACTCCCCCTGCTTGTGTTCCCTCTTGTGCTGTGTCTCTCTCTGTCAAATAAATAAAATCTTTTAAAAAAAGAACTACTTGCATGTCTCCATGTTTTCTCACCTCTATGTCTTCATGTGGTTTTTCATGTATTTTTCATCTCCATAATCTTCATGTCATTTTGCCTGGAACACTCTATCTTCTTCCTATTAATCCATTAAACTTCTCACCTCAAACATCACCTCCTCCAGGAACTTCTGATACCCTCCCCAGAGTCAGATTCCCCACCTTTATGCTGGGATCCAAATATTCCATTGTCTAAAGAAAATATTTAAAACACATGAAGTTCCTCTTCATCTCAAACTGAATGAGAGGTGGGGGGTGGGGGTGGGGAATACCTTCTCATAAAAACTACAGGAAATAGACTTCCCATGATTGTAAACAGAGGTAAGTCTCTGTGTCCCCCATTCAGAATTGTGGTCCGGACTGAAGTTACCCAGTGGACACTGCTCCCGGCCACATTTGCTGGACAACACCTCTCTCACCCAGACTTTCACCATGCTCCAGGCAAAAGGACATGTTTTTTTCTTATACTGGCCTCTGGCTACTTCTTTAAGGCAAATGATCAACTGGATAAAAATACGTCATTTCTATGAAGGTGCCTCCTAAAATCTGTCTTCATCTGCTTTTCTTATGGTTTAATGTCCACAGCTGCCTGTGGGATGCTCCTCACAGACAGGGGGACAAGACTCAAAAGTTAACACAAACCTGTTTCCTTAACGATAAAGGGATGAGCAGATGACCTCCAAGGACGCTTTCCCACTAAAACGTCATCTGAACTCATTCTCTGTCCTAAACTGGCTCACTTGTGAATCTCCCCATTTCTAGGAATAGATAAAATACGTAGAGGGCCTAGTCATAGCAGCTCACTGTCCAGTCTCTGACAATGGTATTACAGGACGGTTAAGGGGATCTCTAATGTGTGCCGCAAAATATTAAAAATACATCAATACTCTCTTCCTCCAATAATCTAAAATAAAACTTCCACTTGCGTTAAGTTTTCCCAAACCTGTACATATCATACTACCTTTTGGAGAAAGGCATTTCCTTTCATGTCTTCTAAATTTATTTCTTTGAAGCTTCAAGAGGTGCCTTTAATTCCAGGATTTCAAGATTTGGAGAATAATTCCATATGAATGCCACCCATACCTTCAGAAACTCGTAAGTCTTTATACAAGAGAAAAACAGTGCTCTTCGTATACGGGTTTTTGGTTCCTCAGTGAAGCCCATATTGGCCAAAACTGCTGATTTGGCAAAAGTCACCATACTGAATATTAAGTTTCTTTTGCTATGCTATAAAACCTTTTTATGCTTTTATAAAGTTGTTTATTATTAGCGCATAATGGCATCTCCAAATCTCACTGTCACTTCAATGGAAAATTCTTCCTCAAACTGACCTGCAATCTGCACCTCTCTACCTGCCACTGTTGATAGGATGAGTTTCTGGAACATGAGACGGTTCCCATCTGACATTAATCCCAGAGTGAGCAGCCTTTACTCCTAACCCATGTCCTGAGCCCGAGTTCACGGAGACAAATTCTGCCACACTGACTGATGGAAGCAACTGTCCAGAGGTGGGATCTGCAGATACTTCTGGAAAACAGGATGGCTCTCCCTAAAACAAACCCCAGCACCTCACGAAGCTGTTGCCATGTGAATCCCTTCTTCCTTGGCCCTCTTCACTCTTAATACCACTGTTTTACTTAGGACTCCTTTCTCAACAATTTCAATCACAGTATCGTGTGCTGGTTAAGGGTCCAACTGCCTAGATTCAAATCTCACTTCTACGGTGTGCTAGATGTATGACCTGGGTAAATTACTGAATCTAGGTTTGCTTCCGTCATCATTAAGATGGAACTCCTGATAGTACTCCCCTCATGTAGATGTTATGAGAATTAAATGAGTTGGTAACTGTAGCGTACTTGGCACACTGCCTGGAGCAGAGCAAGTGTTTCATAAATATTATTATTACTACGATTACAATTCTTCTTCTTCTTTTTCTTCTTCTTCTTCTCAATAGCTCCCTAACCAGTCTTCTGCCGCAAGGTCATCACCCTTCACCCATCTGTCTTCCAGGCTACTTCCAGGATACACTTTCAAAACATTTCTTGATTATAAAATAGGTATTTCATTACAGAAAGTTCAGAAAACATATAAGGGAAAAGTCACCCACTGACCAGAGAGACAACCACTATTGACATATTTCCTACCAGTCTTTTCCTTCCTTCCTTTCTTCCCTTCCTTCCTTCCCCTCCCCTTTCCTTCTCTCCTTTCCTTCCCTTCCTTCCTTTCCTTCTGTAACATAGCTGAGATGATCATTTATGTACTGCTTGTGTCTACTGTCTCCCACTAAGCATGTCCCCATAAGTTAACATTTAACCACATGAGGTAGGGTCGGTTTGAATTCTCTGTTTAGGACCGGATACAGAGAAAACACAAACTGGAGCAATAAAGGACTGGCCCTTCCCTGGCTGAGGCGCACACTTCCCGGCTGCCGGGTTTGTGTGACGCCCACACTCCCCTGCCCGCTCCTCTCCTCTCCTCGCTAGTCCTCTCCGGGGGAATGCAGAGCTCTGAGGGCCCGGGCTGCTGGCCTCACCCCTGCCGGCTGGCCCCTGATGCCACGAAGATGGCGCGCGTGCTCTTGGGGTTCACTGCTGTTTCAACACCCAGCTTGGAACAAGAGTTTCCAAAAGAAAACATTGCCCTCGGTAATGACAACCAGGCCTGGGGGTTCAGAGCACTCTTACCGTCCAGCCACATCCATGTGACCACACAGGGATCTGGCTGACGCCTGCCGGAGGGCTGACTGAGTGTCTTGTGGCTTCAGATGCCACTTGGAGCGCACTGCAAGGTCCTTCAGAGATGAGCCATGTCTCCTAATTTTTATCCTTCACAGTACTTAATACAGAGCTGGTAATCAATAAATGATTGATGAATAAAGTAACAGCCAACACTTTTCTTCCTTTTTAATACGTATTTTTTACTTCTTTCTCTTGCCTTACTGCACTCAATACGCGTCGGGACTGCCAGCACTCTTGGAGTGCTTACTATGTGCCAGACACCAGTCTAAGGGCTATACCCATGCTAGCTAATTTATTCCCTCCAACAGCCCTGGTGAGGGGATGTCATTATCATTTTCATTTTATGCATGAGGAAGTGATGGAATTAGAACTCAAATTTTAAAAACTGGTTTGATCAAATATCACCTCCAAATAATTGAATTCAACAACTAAAATATTTAGTAAGGACCAACTATGGCCTAAGCACTATGTAAGGTTAGGTCTTACACTGCAGGGGGGAGAAATACCTGACAGTGTACTAAACACAAGGTAGATGGGACAGATTCATACTAATGCAAGGAGGGAAAGGGGCAAAGGGAAGGGCCCCCTTCCTATGATCGGAACAAGCTTCTCCAAAATGCTGAGAAATAAGGAGGCCCTCAATGTCATCTCATTATTAAGATCCAAGAATGAACAGGGTTAGCCCTCAAAGGGAACCACAATCCCAGAACATGTCTGGGAGCATTTGGCAGGACCCTGCACCTCTGTTCACCCCCAGACAGAAACACTGGGGCCAACGTTTCCTTGTTCCCCAAGTGATTCCTTGTCTGGAGTACAGGAGTCTGGGGTAGCTGGAATGAGCGGGACAGCCCAGCTCCTCCTTACTGCAAGGATGCAGCATCGCAACGAATCACACCACTGACCCGACATTAACTTAACAAGCAGAGAACACAGCTTTTTTGTAAGGCCTGGTTGGTGTATCCTAAAATCGCAAGAATTTCAACATGCTCCTCACTAGCATCAATGTGCTTTTTGAGCAACACGTGAAACACGTCTTTAATGGAACACACCATACACAGCAGAGAGCCACAGCCCTAGAGGAGACCTGGGGCTTCCCAACACTTCAGTGACCTCCCAAGACAGGAGCCCCCAGGCGCAGTCCTCGCAGCCTTGCTCCTGATTATTCACAGGAAGGAAGGCAAGGCTCCTCCGCTCTCTTACCCACACCACAGCCTCAGCCACAGCCTGGACGCCAACTGTGTCCAAACCCACAACTCAGAGCTCCGGGCTCTCGGCCCGTTCTCGGGGACCAGCACCACCCAGGCAGAGACCCCGGGCTGTCCATACCCCATATGTCCTCCCAAGAGGTCCCTCCGCCCACTCTCTCAGGCAGGCCTGCGCTCCTTCTTGCCTGGCTCATGACACCTTTCTTACAGGTTTCCCCACCACCAGCCAGAAAAGTCTTTCAGAAGCACAAGGTGACAGATCATTCCTTGCTTTACAACTCTCAGAAGCTCACTTATACCAATGAGGTCAAGTCAAACTCTTGACCCCAACTTGTTGGGCCCCTGCAAGATCTGGCCCCCGCCTGCCCCCCAGGCCACCTTGGGTTCATACCCACATGCACTCCGCCCCTTCTGCTCCCCCTAGACCAAGAGCAGTCCAAATAAGCCCTGCCCTCTCACAGCCACCCAGCTCAGGCCTCAACACCAGCACCATCTCACACAGGCAGGCCTCCACGAGGCCTTCGCCTCCGTGTGTGTGACAAAGCACCAGCGCGGACCTCCACCGACGTGCTACACACCACGCAGCATCACTATCTGCTTCCTTCGCGGGCTCTTCCACTAGCTTGTGAGAACTTTTCAGTGTCCCCAGGCCCCCCCCCCCGGGGGGGGGGCGTTGGCATACAGTAAATGTTTGCCAGACAAGAGACTGAGCCTAGACACCCAAGCCCACCAGGCCTCCACTTTCCCTGACCCCTGGGCGGACTTACCAACACAATCGCAGGTGGGGAACTCGGCCTGGGCTCTCTTTGCAGGTGTGTCCAGCAGACTCTTGGTGGGTGTGTCCAGGTACTTAAGAGGTGACTCCAGGAAGCCACTGAGCGTGGGTGTGAGGGGGTTCTCGGCCTTGGTGGGTGTGGCCTCCTGGCCCCCCTCCTCTGAATGGAAGCAGGTGGTTGAGAGCACAGTCACAGCCCCCGAAGACTCAATCTTGATTTGCTTGGGGGAGCGGGTAGAAAAAGGGCTCTCGGGGGCTGGGAGACACGTTGGCTGGTTCTCGGGGTCCTGAATGGGCACAGATGGGGGGCCAGGAAGCCCAAAGCTATCCCCAAATTCAGCTTCAAACTGCCGGATGAGCTCTTCCAGCTTGTCATCGGCAGGGGGAAGAGGGCCGGCGGAGCCCGGCTGCAGGGTCGCCATGGGGCTAGGGGATCTCATTTCCTGAGTAGGGGGCAGCAGGCTGTCCCCAGAGGGACTAGGTGCAAATAGCGCAAGAGAAGGTTCTGGGGGCGGGGGGACAGCAGAGCCCTGTGAGGCGGGGACAGGGGCAGGTGGATGTGCCTGCGCATCCTCAGAGGCTGGGGACCTCCGCCCTTCCAGGATGATCTGCCGCAGAGGCAGGAAGAGAGGCTGCGTTTCCCGTGGCCTGGACTTCTTGATCTGAATGGGCTTCCGGACGCTGGGCTTGAACCCAGGAGTGGCCTTCTCGGTTCCCGCGGGACCTCCAGCTGGTGTCAGGGGCTTCTTCTTCTTCTCCTTGGGTGGTCTGTCCGGAGGCCGTGGGGCAGGTGAGCTTGGTGGGGCCCACCAGCCCGGAGCAGGAGGCTCCGTGGGAGCAGGGAAGGAGGCATCGTGGGCCTGGTCCAGGAAGAGACTGCGCTTATGGTGAAGGTGCTGCTGCAGGGCGGTCTGGGCCTTCTGGTGGGCGTCGGGCTCTGCAGATGGTGCGGGAGCCTCCCTCTGGAGCATGGGGGATGGGGATGGGGTTGGGGAGGAAGAGGGCGCCTCCACCTTGACCTTGGGCTTGGTGGGCAGGGCCTCGGGCCGCTTGAATACTGACTGGATGTAATCACTGGCACTGCCCAACAGCTGCTCCAGTTCGGCCATGGGGTCAGGGCTCGGGCGGGGCATGGGCCAAGAGCTCCGGGGAGTTGCTGGTGGGGTGTCAGTGCCCCAGGCTTCAGGAAACTCTGTTCTAGGAGTTGCTGGCGGGAAGGCAGGGCCATCAGGAGCAAAGGACGCATGCTCTTCAGCCGGGACCACAGGCCACGAGGGGGCCCGGAGGTAGGACTGGGCAGACCGGAAAGGGGCAGGAGGGGACAAGGCCTCAGGGAGGGGGCAAGAAGCCTGGGAGGTGGAGTGGGAAGGCTGAGGGAGGGCAGAGGAGAGCTGTGTGAGGGCCTCGATGGCGATGGCCGTCTGCAGGCTGATGTTCTTTTCCTTGGCGATGCTCAGGGCACTCTGGGACAGGGGCAGGCCCTCGGGGGGAGGTATCTGGGGGACCTCAGAGCTGAGGATTGGCCGGGTGCTTGGCGCTGGGAGGCCAGCCTCAGCAGAAGGCAGAGTCCCTGGAAGCCTGGGCCGCTCCTCCCCGCCGTCCACGACCACAGACTTGATCTTCCCCTCCAGCCACTCGAGGTAGTCAGGGCACTCCGGGCCATCGCAGTTGCAGTTGGGTGGCTTCATGCCATGCCGAGCGAGGGCCAGGGCCGTCTGCAGCGTGTCCAGGTCTTCGCTGCCAGCAGAGCAGCCCTCGGGCCCTGACCGGGCTCCCCTGCTGTTGTTCCCAGCCTCGCGACTCATCTCACGGTTGAAGGTTTCATAGAGCCGGGTGCTAAGGGCCCCGTAAGAGGACACGGCTTCGGCCACAGCCGAAAAGGCCACCAGATCGTGGGCATCTTCCAGGCGAGCAGTGTGAGCTGGGCCCGGGGCACCGTCCCAGTTGGGCTTCTGGTCTACTCGCCAAGGACCCCCAGCCTCCAGCAGACTGGGTCCAGCGGGTTCTCTAGCACCATTGACCGGCGCCCCTGAGGCGCTTAGCTGCCGTGAGTCCCCATGGTACACTGGCCCTGAGTCCATCTGACCTGGAACAGGTCCATCAACTGGGCTGAGCTCTGAGCCTGTCTGAAGAAAGAAAGAGAGAAAAAAGGAAAAAGATGAGCCATGATAGTAGAAAAGCACTGCCCTGCTTCATACCATGCAGATGCATACCTAAACCCTGCATTTCTTGCACACTCTGTCCCTGAAACAGCTCAAGCCTGAACTCATCTTCATCTTCAGGTCTCCTTGCCCAGCTAGCTGCACCAACAGAAAGGAAAGGCAGATCGTTAAGAGGTCCTAATCCAGAATTCTGAATGTTCTCAGATCCTTTTAGAGCCTAAGATCAATCGTGCGGATGAGGCTCCCCAGACACCAAGCATTTATTAAGGACTCACAAAAAGATCTTTAACTCGCAATGACCAAAGTGACACCGGGACCATGCTGATTTCGGTGTTTGTCGGGAGAAAGCTAACCAAACACCCCAAGAAGCAATATGCCTTTAAGTGTGTGGAGGGGGCGAGCAGCTTTGAGGGACATACGCAGCCTGGACCAGAGGTCAGCCAGAGCTTTTTAGTGGGAAGGAAACCACAGTTTTTTTCTCTGCCTGTTACTGTCCTCACTTAAGCCCTGGCCGAGCTCTGAGAGCTGGTGACAAGATGACATTCCCACTCCCAGCCCCAGCCAGGCTGGAGAGAAACACTGATGATCGGACACCACGTGCATTCAGCCCCTGCCGAGCCAGTCATGCCAGTCACAAGCAAGCTGCTAGTCGGACCAAGATCCAGGCCTCTTCTCAAGCCCAAGAACCACCACTATACACCTGATGTCCAGCAAAGCACACAGACGGGGGAGGGCAAAAAAGGGAAGGAGCCAAGGGGTTCAGCCCAGCAAGTTAAAAACTAATACGAAGATGCGAAATTCAGCTTGCAGAATTCATCCCTCTAGAAAGGAAAGCTCTTCCTTACAGTAGACTGCCAACAAAAAAAATATAGAAGGGACAATAGATTTGGAAAGTCATCAGTGGATGCCACAACTAGGAGGTGAAAGCTTAATGGGGCACAGGATATAGACATGGTCTCAAAATATCTCCTCAAAAATCACTGAGTTAAAACAGCAAAGAGAAATCTGGCAGATACCACCTGAACCAAATGATCAGAGTACTCATCGTCACCAATACTGTGGCCAACATCATGAGACTCTTGATATGATACACTGAGAAGGATGTAACATCATTCACACAGAATTCCAGCCAAAATGTACAACCCAAATGTAATTATGAGGAAACATCAGATAAACCCAAACTGGAGGGTATGTTAGAAAGCACCTGGATTGTTGTCTTCAAAAATTTCAAAGACAAGAAAGACAAACATCTCTGCAAACATCTTGGGCTTACTGAAGAGACAAGACAGAGAAATGCATGTTCATGCGTTAGATCACGGACTGGGGACAACAGCTGGAAGGTACACCATGGGACATCTGATGCAATTTGAATATGGACGCGGATAAGATCACACTGTGCCAATCTCAGTCTTCTTGGCTTGAATCATTTTACTCTGATTATGTAAAAGAATGTCTTTGTCCTCAGGACACACACACACACACACACACACACACACTGAAGTATTCAGGATAAAGGAACGTAGTATTTCTAACTTAACCTCAAGTGGTTCAGAAAAATATGATATGCATATAAAAAATACACATACAGAGAGAAAATGATAAAGCAAATAAAGCAAAATGTGAACAATTTTAGTATGTGGGAGTCCCAGGTACTCTTTTTGCAACTTTTCTATAAGGTGTAGCATAGAGTGGATAAACAGATGGTTAAATTGATACTAGTCCCCAGACTGTGGAAGGTGCCCATCATGCATGGGCTCCAAAGCAGCGGTGGGAAGGTGGGATTTGGGATTAGCCCAGTGGAAGGTGAGCAGAGACCCCAGCCTAGGGTTCCCACCTCATCTTCATCGCTGCCCCATTCTGGCCACAAAGGACCCTTGTGCTTTTCCAACATGCTTTTCTGAGCTTTGCACATGCAGTGCTCACTGCCTGGGATGCCCTTCCCAGCCTCTGTGGGGCCACCTTGGCTTATCCTTCAAGTACCAGCTCAATGGCACCTCCTCCCTGACCTGGCTGGCAGACTGCCCTGTGGCTCCTGTCCCCTGGGCTCCTGCAGCACCTTGTACATGCCTTAGCAGCACTTTCCACAGGCCCCTGCTATCATTCAAGCAGCTGCCTCCCCGAGCAGATGGGAGCTCCTTCATGACAAGGTCCGTATCTTAACCACTTCGGTGTCTCCTGCCCACAGCTGCTGCACGAACACTCTCTCAGCCCGGTGAAAGTCCTCCCATCCCCCACCGGCCACGGACGAGGCCGCCTTTCCCTGACTGTCTCTCCGAACGTGGAACTAGGAATGAAACCTTTCCTCTAGGAATGTGGTTGATCACCCAGTCGTCCCTTCCTTCCTTCTCAGAAACCTAAACCACGGTGACAGCAAAGGCAACGAAGTCTGAAGTGGCCAAATTTTACATGCTTATGTGTAAAAGACAGAAGGAGCATGCATAACCCCAAAGAAACATGAGGGAGTAGCGTGGATTTACAAAAACAGTGTCAGGAAGACTAATGCTGCGGGAGCTGAGGCTTCCCCAAAATGGTCAAGACAACTAAAAGGATTTAAAAAGTTATTTTTGGTTTGTGAACAAGAACAAGGAAGGGCTAGGCTGACGCTTGGGCCTCTGAGTTCCCTGGGAAAGAAAATGCTCTTTAGACCAAAAAGAGAAGAAAGGGAAGAGTGGACACAAAAACGAGGGAAGTGAAGCCAGGATGGGTGCGGGGAGATTTTAAGAAATGCTAAATTCCAGTTTCTCGGCCAGGGGATCCCACTGATGCATTCCTCAACATGTGCCGGGGATCCTGGAAGAAAAACGCCATCCAGAGAAGGTGCCATCAGCAAGAAAAGAGCAAGCATCATTCCCAACTCTGGTGCACCGAGCAAGACCAGCCCCAGTAAGATTCCTGAGAGAGTAACTAAGGGAACCACAAGGAGCCAGGTTCAACAAAGGCCATCAACCCATCAACATCCAACTAACCTCACTGTTTTGTGTCGTATGGTTTTTGGACCAGGAGACTGGGAGACGTCCTGTCTGATAGATCACAAACTCAAGGACTGTAAGCCAAATCAGCCACAGATCTGTTTTGTTTGGCCTACACAGTGTTAGATTCTTGTTTGTCTTGCCAATATTAAAAAACCAAATTTTACATGAAACCGAGATTGTCTTGAAGGTCCACACTTCTACCTGGCTGACGAGCCGCGGCTACTGCTCGGGCCTGCCCCCAGCCTCACCATTCCATGCTGCTTTCTTGACACCAAGGCCAGGGGTCAGAGATTACTTATTAATTGCCTGAATTAGTTATCACTTCATTCATTCGTGTCACTTGCCAAGCCCTTGTAGGCATTTGCATTTGCTACTTGGGCTATGGATGTTTACATTGCCTAAGGCCTGCCATGACCCCTTTGAGGGCCAGCAGTAGAGAATTACAGGCCAGGCAGGCTGGCTCACCACTGGCAGAATGACCATGCTCAGACTCAAGTGGTGTAGCAACCCGGGTGCGGGGAAGGGAGGAGTCTTTTTTTTTTTTAACGAATTTTGAGACAGAGAGATACAGAGAGAGAGAGAGAGAGCAGGAGCAGTGCGGAGAGGCAGCGGAAGAGGGAGAAGCAGACTCCTTGCTGAGCAGGGAGCCCAGCATGGGGCTCGATCCCAAGACCTGGAGATCATGACCTGGGCCGAAGGCAGACGCTTAACCATCTGAGCCACCCAGGCGCCCCTGGGGGGGGGGGGGGTCTTTAGTGGTCTGCCATAGGGCTCTGTCCTCAGAATTGTCCTGTTATTATTTACCAATAATGATAGACAAGGCACACTTATTAAATAGGCAGATGTTGAAAATAAGAGGGATAAAGCCATGTTAAATGAAAGGACCAGGTGCCAAAAGGTCAACAGCTGGAGAGAAAAAAATCTAACAGGATAAATAGAGTCTTATACTTAGTCCCCAAACCATATATGTGCAAATCAAAGACGGCAGTAGTGCACATAAAAATGTCTTAGGGATCAGGAGAGGTGAAAGACTAGCTGATGATACACACAATATGATGATCTGGCAGCTTCAAAGGGTCCTATAACCCAGGGTTTTTTGCAACTTCTTTACTATAATCCACAGTAAGAAATATATCTTACAACATGATCCGTTATGTATTTACATACATGACAAGTTGGCAAAATACTATTTCCCCTTACTAGATACACAAATCCCTCCCTCCCTCTGTTTCTTGTAGGTTGCAACTTTGTAAGCTGATTTCATAGAAGCTAACGGGTCCCAAGCCATAGCTGGACACACACACAGCCATGACCTGACCGGAACAGGACCCGTAGCACAGGCAGTGACGGGCCCTCTCTGCCCAGACCATACCTGAACCCGGGCTTCCCTCGGGGCTGCCCCTGAGGGGACACAGAGCAAGCAAGACAGTGCAAAACCATAGAGGAACAGGTCCCTTTAGGTTCTGAAGAAGACAAAACTCGTGAAAGTCTTTACACACCTGAAGTTTGTTAGTCTGGCACAGAATTAGACTCGTTTCAAGGGATGGAACTGGAAAATGGGTAAAGCTTTAGAGAGGGACACGTGGGCTCAATTTAGGGAAGACTTTTAACTCTTAGAGATGCTAACGCACCAACCCTTGTCCCCCTAAAAAGCAGGAGGCAGCAAGTTCTTACGAAGGGGGACTTTGAAAAAGGAACAAGGTAGTTATCAGGTGATTACTGGCAATGCTAGAGTATGGAGGCTAGTTGAGGGAGGCCCTTTCAAAGTCTCAGTTCAGAAATGCCCCAGCTCTAAACCCCTCCATGCCATTTCCCTCAATCCTCGATCCCCTCTGGGCTCCAGCAAATGCCACTCCAAGGATGTTCCCCAATGTTTGCATTTTGTCTGGACCTCTCAGCTGACCTCCAGCTAGCTCCACCCCCTGGGCCACGCTACAAGCCCACTGAGGAGCAGAGTGTCTCAAACAGAAGTGAACTCCCCTCCCCACCTGC